TAAAGTTACATAACTTATAAATATTAATTAAGGAATTAAACTGAAAAAAAAACCGTAATCATAAGCATTAATTTACAGTGTTCTTAATAAATTCCGTTCATGTACATAATGGAAAATATAATGCATCGAATCCACTAGCCTACTTGTGCAACATGGTAACTTGTATTAACACTCGTAAAGAAAGTTCACGCAGAGAAAACAGCTGTAACCTCTTACACGGAAAAAATCCGATCTATCGTTTGACATCTGACAAATATCAGACAAAATTCCGAAAGATTCTATTACATTACCACATCCAAAAATATTCCTATCATCTAAAAAAAGAAACTGACATCTACAATGCTTCTTCCACAGTGCCTATTTCCATATAAATGTAAAACAGTAAGCTAGTGCTTTATATTAATCGGAATTATCCTAAAATATTTTTCTAAAACACATATCCTTGACATACTTCTTCAGAACATCGAACTGTTTTCGAAACATAAAAGTGAAACCAAAGTAATAGTCTAGATAACTACAAACATCAGAAATCTCATGGAACATTACTAATCATAAAATGTATTTCTTTATGATTAGAAAACTTTAATGTACAATCCAAAACAATCACTATCTCAAAGTCAATAATCTTACTGCCTACATCTGAGCTACGTCAATCTATCTATATTCAGTTCGACTGTAACACGGAACCATAATTCCAAGTATCATCTCAAAGAAGAATGATAATCCTGCATATTTTTAATCGCTTTATGAAAATTTATTACAGTGACGCTTCGTCATCTGTTTTAATAAACCCATAAGCTGCATTCATCATACGCTGTATATGCTAACACAAATCTATTTACATAAAGAAAACAAACATACAAAATTGAAAAACATGACGCAAAAAAGCATTTCTGACTTGATAATTTTTTCTCTCAAATCTAATATTACTATCTATCTGATAATAATAATAATAATAATAATAATAATACTTAGCTTTAGCAAGAAACTCAATTCGCATAACAATAACAGTAGAAGCAAACAAAGATAGCGAACAAATGAAAGTGCCAGCAAAAAGATGGTCGAAAACAATTTCCCGTTTTTGCAAATATACTAAATACATTGTACAACAGAATAAACCTGATAAACTATCATTTTTTCAAAATCTGAAGAATATTATTTTGGATGGACATCCTTCTACTTTTTAGGATGATCAAATCGAGACGCGTGAAAAATTATAACTGGCAAACATTTTAGCCAGTATTTGACAAAGATGTATAAAAAACATAATTTTTTAAACGTATCGCATTGATTTTGTCCTCCTAAGAAAACAGAGATGTCTACAATGATAATATTGAAAAAAAATAGCAAAATAACGAAAGCTGCTTTCAAGCATTTCAAAGAATTCTCTTCTTCACTGGATTCATCGTTTCTGTTTAAACTGCTACGGTTTCTTTCGCAAAGAAATAATTTACTAAATCAAAATCAAGATATTGAAGAAATTGGATTTGATGGAGGACCCATCTGCGAAAGAACTTTGTCCAGCCACTAAAATAAACGATGTTTTTTCAGCCCATAGAGCAAATTACAACAAAGGACCCTTCGGGATAAAAATAAGTAATAAAGTTAATTTAACACTGTTCTGAATAACTAGTTGAGAAGAAACAATCCAATTCAGGGTTCCCAAGAAAATTTTTCACGTGAATACTTTAATTCAAAAATAAATCAGTAGACAAAACCTATAAATAAAGCCATACCTGCAATGGAGCGTGAAGATGTATTTCTATCCAGCAAGGAGTAGATGTGACATCTTGTCTTTGATATTCAGCACCCCAACCTTTTACAAACGACATACGTATAATCGTCATATTAGTTAACTCATATATTGCATCAAATGAACAGCAACGAGTTGACTCCGCGAGAAGCTAAAAAATTTACAATGCTATTTTCTATTAGTTTTTATAAAAATCTTTATATTAATTAATTTGTCAATATGTTTTATCAGTATATCACTCGTAACTTTACCCTGCAGCTATGAGCATTAAGGAAAATTTTAACATGCCAGATTGTAGAATCTGATGGCGTAAAACAAAATTTAAAATGGTATAACAAATGAAGTTACCACGACTGTCAAATGAATAAAAAATAAGCTCATGTATGTATGATAAGAATGGCATTGGAATATAATGGATAACATTATTACGATGTGAGAAATATTGGAATTTAGATTTGCAGAAAAATAACCTCTCTAAATTTCGACATATCAAAAATTTTTAAAGAGATTCCATTCGTTATTTTGCACACAGTGGTAGGATGAAAACTGTGGAAGTAATTGCAGTTGCGTGACTGAATAAATATTGCACTTTCGCTTTGACACTCAGCAAAAAGCGTTCCTTGATTTGGGACATACGTTAACTTCACACCTGTAATCCACATGTGAATATCAAATTTTAAAAAATTATAAAATCAGCCACAAAATCAATGTGTATTAAAAAAAAAACAGAACTAATGCCTAGAATGAACGATATCTTTGAATCATAGCATTAATATCCAAAAAACATTCCTAGATTGCAAAGTTTAATGGCACCTCTTCCAATACGCCGCCTTGTTGACTCAATTTGCTGATTTCTATTCACATTTGATAACAACCCAAGACAAATTTTGCTAGGATTGGACGTTGGATCTGTGAAACCATCAATTTCGACGGTAGGTGATGAAACTTTATATTGTTCTCCAACACGTGTATTAAGTTCGAAATAACTGATAGTAGCCCAAAACTTTCCTTCTTCATAAGGTACCTAATTATGAAATCAATTTGTGTTAAGAAAATTGATTATATCAATGTTTTTTTGCAAGAACCAGACACAAATCCCTGATGTTTTAATAATAACAAATGAGTCAGCATACTTCTATTGTTCTGACATTATTTGGGAAAGCTATATTAAAATCCACTTCATCGTCCGGTTTTGATATCATTACCTGGAATGAATTAAAAATTAAAAATGAGCTGTTTTTCGGTCAAAATAGACACCAAAGTAATATTGAACAAAATAAACTTTTCTTCGGAAAAAAATCGGAAAAAGTTGTTCAAAAAAAGTGTAAGAATATCTAAATTATTACGGAGTTAAAAAATAAATTACAATGTGCACAAAGAACTGGAGTCATAATGAAATTCAATCAAAATTTTTAAAATCAGAGTGAAACAAACTGTATCATTATAATGGGTGAAATCAATGTTCCGTGGCATTGATGAAGCCATTGAGCCTGTCTGTAATCTGGATATGCGCGATAACCGTGGTATGATATGTGGAGGAGGTTCGGTATATCGCGGGACTAATACTGGTGGTAGGATACCTGCACTTTCAACCCTTTCATAGTGATAAGGATTGATGCAAATATCTTTTTGACCTGATTCAAAGCAGTAACGACAATCATCGATCGCTTTCAATTCATGATGAGATTGTAAATCTGGCCAACGATATACACGACAATATATTACATGAGGCAGTGCTTTGCGATGTGATATCTAAAAGTGATTTTAGAAAGTATAAAAAAATATTGAAAAGCGCATAAGTTTTGAACATGTAAATAAAGAGGATAAATAAAATGTCCTTACAGTCATGGGATTTAATGACAGTTTTAAACTTTCTTTCGACTGCAGCATTCTTTCATAAAATCACTATTTTATTAACCTTGTTTATTCTCAAACAGACTAGAAAAAATATCTCTTCAATAATCTAAAATAATACAACCTGTAATCTTCCATCAAGTGAACGTGGAATAGTAACACAATCGGTCCGTTGACGCCCTTGACATTGCAAAGCTAGCTCTAAGCTTGTTAAAGCTTCACTGTTATGCTTTTGCAATTTTTTCATCAAACTATCGATAGCTTTCCTAGACCAACTTTCCTCTTCATCTCCTTCAAATAATGGAAATACAAGACGATACTCAGAGCAATAATAATGAAACATAAACACTAACGCGATAATAACAATAACTTTGAGTTTGATTTCGGAAACGCCAAACTTCATACTGATTTACTAGCAGTTCAAAATCTGGTTTAGGCTTAATATCAGTTCAATTAAATCAAATTGCAGTTTTTCAGATATGGAAAAGAGGGAAGAACCTTGTTTCCATCCAAGACGCTTCGCCACGGCTGTTCCATGCTGACCCAGCAAATTTTCGAACCTCATTCTCCAACTACTAAACTGAAATTATGTGACTGTTAAGTTAAGTTCAGACGTGATTAAATATAAGCAAAACGAAGATTGTGCGTGGTGCATGAAGTCAGTAGCTAATTTATTTTGCTTACTGAAAGTCAAAAGCAGTTGTCGATATCTAGTAGAGATCAAACTTGTTCATATCGAGAAAATAGCTAACGTGACGTTTACTAGACAGATTAACGATGTTGCTGTCTTCAGGATAGAGAAGGAAAAGATGCAAAGAGAAATAGAGGGAATGAAAAAGTAAGAGTCGCAGGATCACTGTTCATAATCACTCGATTTAATATGTATGCATGTATACGACATAGTCGCAGGGGAACTAGGTCATATACATACTGAGGAAGCCTGAACTATAAAGTGCTTTACATCGTTAACAGTCGGTCTAAAATCGAGAGAGAAACCAAATTATAAGAAGCATAACAATATAACGAAAAGAAGGTCCTTTTATACGGACCGCATGAAAACTCCCGTGCTCTCTGCCGTAGACTTTTGAACATTCAGTGTATCCGTAGAGAATCATTGCACATTCGTGTCAGTATTAGGTCAGTTGTGTTTATTCTGGGGATGCTTCAGATATTTTCAGAACATTCAACAGTTATTGTTTTTTCGTATTGAGCAAGATTTTGTGCAGACTAAACATTGTTCGACAAGACAATTTCGATGGCTGAGACATTCGAAAACAGCGGTCATGTGAAGAGGAGTGCAAGTCCAGGAGATATGCAGGATGAAGTTATATTCAGTGATGAGGTAAGATAATTAGCTGTTGCGCAGTGTTAATCTTAGTTCAGTAGCACCAGTTGTCGTTGTTTGTTCCAAACGACTATTCGGTTGTTTTTTTTTTTTCACTACCACTAATCGTCACATAATACTCAGATTTGAGTACCAGGTACATTAAGTCTTTAACAAAAAGTGACTTATTTCAGTAATGAAGTAGTACAGTATGTCAGTATAAGTGCAACAGGAAACTAGTTAGACGCTAGTAATATATGTAACAACTGACCACAGTAGTGTGCAGCAATTTGCAGGTTATGCGTGCCATTGCAACTATCAATGTTCATGGATTATGCCGTACTGACATGGATGTTATAGATAAAATTAATAATTTGTTTCCGACTGAGCAGTCGTTATCACAGTTGGATTCGGTAATGCATTCATTTGAGGAGGAAATTGTTGGTTTGGATCGTCAGCTAGCGCAGCTCGTTGAAACACTAGGAAAAACAGAGGACGATGGAAGCAAGGCTTTGCATGAGGTTACTAATTCTTATGTTACTAACTGGAGTATCAAGAGTGTTGCTAAAGAATGAACTAGAATTTTATTGATATAATCCTGCTTAAACATGGTAAAACTGTAAATATTTCAGGCTCATGTAGCGATGAATGATTTGGAAGAACGTGTACGTGCCATTTGTCTTAAAACACAGTCATCAGAAAGTGTTGTGCAAGAAATGACTCGTGATATCAAAGAACTCGATGTTGCTAAGCGAAATTTAATTGCTTCAATAAAAGCTCTTCATCATCTTCAAATTTTGATTACTGGCGTGTATTCACTCGGTATTAATTAACTTATTGCGCCGTACATGGGTTGTAGTCATTTTTTTTCTCCAAATTATATATATTTATAGGAGTATGGATCGAACAACATCGATATAGTGAAATTGCATCTCAGTTACCGGCTATTCTTAACGTGCTGCAACTTTTTGCTCCATACATGGGAGTGCAGTATATTAAGGAAATTTCTGAACAACTTGAACGTTTGAAACAGCAATTAGCTATTCAACTAATTGCAGATCTAAAACAGTCATTTCAGGTAAATACAGGTATTTATATACCACTCGATGTAAGGAGCATTTAGTTTTGTTTCAAGAGTCAGGTATTTCCTTTTATGACATGAAAAATCATAAAATTCATCGATTTCCAGTCCGGAGTTTTGAACTCGTCTGTGACTGATATGTGTCGAACTGCTTCATCACTAGATATCACCGTGCGCAATGATTTTTGCAAGTGGTTCATTGAACATCAACTCTCGGAATATGCTGTATTGTATGGAGAGAGTGAAAACATTGCGTGGATAGACAAGATTGATTTAAGGTCTGCAAATTTCTAATTTTATTATTTTTTATCTGTTCATATCTCGTATAATTTTACTCTCTTTTAAGGTATCGATGGTTTGTGCAGAAAATGACAGAATTCGAAAAAACAGGTTTAATGAAAGTTTTTCCTGTTGAATGGGACATGGGTCGGCGGTTGACTTTGGAGTATTGTGATCTGACTAGGTATTCATTGATGTTGCTTTTGTTTTGAAGTATTTCAAACTTTTTATTCGTCCTTCACTATATCTATGGAACAGTTGCTCGATATATTATTTAGAGAAGTAATATAACTAGAGAATTTTGGCTTTGTTGGATTGCTTCGGTATAAGTATAGATGAGTGCTAAGTGAATAATGATAAGTGTAACATTTGAGTAATCTTCAGTCCTTCACTGCATCTATCAGACAATTTATCAGAGTAATGTTGGAACGAATGATGTCCAGGCGTTGGTTAGAACTGGATCACAAGGTGCTTGCGCATGCGATCAACCATACAGTCATGTTCGAAAACCTTCTTTGCAAAAGGTTTCCTGCAAAAGGGGTTTATAATTTCGAAAAGGCACTTTTTTCTTATTTTTTATGAAACTTGATATCCTCACTATTATTTCGAAAACGTTTTCTGACATAATTATATATTTGGATCAGTAAAACCTTTGATATGGGTGAGCAGCATAAAATATTAGGAATTGTTGTGCCTTAGCTATACGATGAGTTTATCATTACTAAACAACTGTTTTGTGGGGAGAATCCTGGAGATCGCATTTAAATTAGATGTCAAGAAAAGCACTTAATTTTAAACGGTAAAGTTGTGCAAGGAATTTATTTTAGCATCTTTGATCTTGTGATTTGTTGTGAAATTTCAACGTATTAAAATGCAATGCATATTTTTTCGGAATACTTTTCTCTTGAAAAAAGCTTCGCATCTGAGTTAAAAATTTTAAGCAGAAAATATTGCTTGAGTTTCGGCTGGATATTTTGCGGAAATGGATTTAAGAATGCATATGTAGTCAACTTTAGGTTATTTGGCGGGTATTTGACAAGTACATGGATGTGTTTGTAGCAGCTCAGAAAAAAAATCTCGACAGCTTTTTGGAAGAGTGCGTAACAAGAATTAGAAATGGTACGGAGCGACCTACTCGGGAAACAGCTTTACATGCATATCCACTTCCTTCATCTGCTGATATGTTTCTCCTATTAAAGAAAATAATTGCCGAGTTAACAAAACTTAGTTCCAGTCCAAATGCTTTATTGAGGTTTTTGTTTGTTTCTTTTTTTCCCCTCTAACTCATATTATGAATCCAGTTTTCGAAATTCCATTCAACTATTATCAGTATGCTACGTCGTAGTAACTTGCTTCTTTCAATGTTTTACTGATTTTTGATTATTATAAATTCTTTTGGTTCTTCAGCTTTACACAAGTTACGTTTCACATGCCTTTAATATTCTTTCAATATTGCTCACGGTTGTTTAATTTTTTGCATCACTCAATCAGCTAAAATTTTGTGACGGAATTAATTAGTCATTTAATTTGCAATTTTTCTATAATATATTCATAGCTGTCATATATTCTAATTCATAATTATTTAGCAGTCTGGTTGAAGTTCTCCGTGGTTGTCTGCGTGGCTATGCTCATGGTTGTTTAACGGCTTTTTTACCTTCTTTACCTTCTACTCAGTTCTCATCTACCTCGATCTTACAAACTTTAATGAGGTAATCTTATGCTGGAATCTTTTATATCTCTGATTTGAATCAGGAAATAGAACTTTTTATAATATATCTCTTTGAAATTCAATTTTACTATTTCCTAAATTAGAAAATATTTTCTTTGATGTTTAGTTTCTCAGTTTAACAAATTTCTTGAATGATTTCAGAGATGGGACAGTAGTTCGGCTAACAACAGATCAGCAGTTTTTCACTTGTTGTGTGCTTGCTACAGCTGACTGGTGTGCGGAAACTACTCTTCAGTTGCAAGAAAAACTGAAACAACGAGTGCCGGTAGTTATAAGCATACTAAGAAATTTGTTTCATTACTTTGGAATTAAATTTTCGGGTACAGCAAAAAAGCTCTTGTATTTAAATGAAGAATATATGAATATAGCTACCAATTCTTCGTGCGAAAAATTAAAAAATGCATATTTATATTCATGTTTTGCGAACAAATTTGAGTTTATATTTCCGTAAATATCACTTGATAAAAATGTTTTCTGTTTTTCAGAGTATTGATCTGAATCAAGAAATGGAACTTTTTTATAGCATATCTAATAATGCTCTGTCCATTTTGGTCCAAGATGTGGAATCTACTTGTGATGCTGCTTTGCAAGCAATGGTTAAGATAAAGTAAAATTTCTATACCTCTGTTAAGCTTTTAAATTTCCTTTTTATTATTTTATTGATTGTTGATTCATTTTCCAGTCATGGATATCACTTAATACTGACATTTGTATTATTAGATGATTTTTCATGTGGTTCACCCTTCCGCCCTATCTTCGATCAATTTGTTATTATTTTCGGTATTATACTTTGATTTTTTATTGTAAGCATGAAATTCAGCTGGAGTGCTGTAGAAAGTGTTGGTGATGAGTCGCCATATGTTTCTTCTGTACGAAGTCATCTGCGATCCAATGTGCCATTAATTCGAGATTTCTTTGCCGACCGACGAAAATATTTTGCGCATTTTTGTCTAAAGTTGGCGACACAGTTAGTAAATAAATTTTTGGGTGCGCTTTTCAGGTATGTTTAATGAATTTTTTTTTGTTATTCGATGAAGGATTAATTCAAGCTAATTTTACATTATTAAGAGCTTTATGTTTTCAAATTAAAGCGATTCATAGCTGTCCAAAATAAAGGATTTTTAACAAAACTTACATGGAACTATTTTTCAGTGTTATTTTTTGCAGATATCCCAATTTTACATCAGCAATTTGTCATTTTCTTTTGCAAATTTATTATCAATTCAGATGTCGTCCAGTAGGTATTACTGGCGCAGAACAGTTGTTATTGGATACGCATGCGTTAAAAACATTTTTATTATCAATGCCATCTGTTGAATCTTCTATAAACACGAAACCACCGACGCTTTATACAAATTTAGTGGTCAGAACAATGACTAAAGTGGAAATGTTACTCAAAGTTTGTTATTATCGATTATTCACTCAGAAAAGTTTTTAAGTTAGAATCTTAAATCGTAAGAAGTGTTGTCAAGTAGTTGTCCTCAGTTTGATTATATCCGGTGAGACTATATTAGATTTTTTAGATTATTATGTCAGAAGCAGATCCACCTGAAGAATTTGTGGCGGCATATGCTCGATTGTTGCCGGAATCAGATTCAAGTGAATTACAAAAAGTTTTGGAAATGAAAGCACTAAGACGTCAAGAGCAAGCCACAATTATACAGCTATACAAGTCCCTTGTCGAAGGACAGGCATCTAGTTCTGATTTGTGTTAGTCTCCTTACACTTCATATTTTAATTCATCGACTTGGTATTTTAAAAAAAGAAACTGTACATTGAAGCAAAAAACTTCATCCGCGGTAATTTTTATCGTATCTTCCAAATAATTTTTTCTTTATGAGTGGAAAACCCTTCTATGTCTGTAGTAGGTACTGTTCTTACGCTGGTATTTAATCATTTAGATATATACTGCAAAATTAGTATGAAAATTATCTTTAAGAGATAAGTACGAGAATGAATTTATATGTCAGTCAAATCCTGACTTCGTTAATGCTTGTTATTGGTATGAAATTTTGTGTCTGTGGAGCAGTTGAATAAGTATCTCTCGGAAGTGCAAAAATCAGTATCTCTGGAATTTGTTGGACTTTGTAAAAACTTATTGTTTGTTGTGGTAGTTAAAAATTAATGAGCTTCTGTCAAGAATTACTTTTTTCACGTATCGGTTTTTAAAATTGTCTTTGGGCACTTCTGAAATTGAGTTTTTTTTTCAGCAGGTATTCAGTCTTCAACAATATCAAAGCTAGAAAGCATTGGTGATTCGAGCATGAGAAGACTGGAACAGTTAGTTAAAAAGAAGACATAATGTATGTATATAATATAATAAAGCCACTTTGCAAGCCACCATTTCACGCATGTTTTGCCGTTTAATTGGCTGTCAGTAATAGATTTAAGAACAAAATGTGAGAGAACGACGAAGCGTTCCTCAGATATCGCTATTACTAGAAAGTCAGATTGCAATGTTTGGATTAATATTTATATTGAGAGGCATTTACTTGGACTGTGGTTGACGTGCGCCTAACATCTTTCCCAAAATTATGGGTTGATATTCAGCATTAGCGTAATATTCGGCAGAAGGACGAGAGGATTTTCCTGAGATTGGTTTTGGTGGGATGTAGGATCTTGGCTTCTATGCGTAGTGATGCATCTGTTCTTTACACATAAGAGGTGAGCAGCTATTTTGACATCGTTCTTGTGCCCTCAGTGGTTTCTACTGTTTATTGCATCTAGCTTTAGATTCCGGTTTTCCACCCCTCACTCTCCGTTTGTATGTAACAACTCGTGCACTTAACGTAAGAGGCTTTTTTTACCAAAATCGTCCAACTCTTACGATGAAGATGCACTAGTTTATAGTCAAGCGAATCATGAGAAGTGTGTGAAACAAAAGTACAATAGTCTTTTTTGTGAAAATAGCTTCAGTTCAAATTACGAAAAGAAAATTGTGTTGCTTACACAGCTATAGAAGACTGAAAAAAATGTTTAATAAATCGCAAACGGAATTTTTTAAGAAATAGATTATGAGTCAACTACATTTTCTTCGTTCTTAGTTATTTCATTCTTGAAGTTGTCTTGCAAGTACGTGCTTGACACGAAGATCGAACTTTTTGCATTTGTTTGATGCAAGGCTAGATTCTGTATTCGAAAATACTTTTCACTTGTGCAGACTTGTATCGCTGTAGTTCATAAAAGGAAGATTGGAACACGGAGAACTAACACTTGGAAATACACCACGTCTTCTTTAACGATTAATTTACACATAATGTGGAAGTAAAATTTGCAAAAGCTCCATCATTCAAAAAAATTCTCTGGTAGAGCGTAACTGCAAATTTGGAAACAGAAATTAATACATGCAGTGTTGGTGCAACTAAAAATTTACGTCAGCAAATTCAATATTTATAGAAAGGATCAAGTTGTCATCACGAATGCGCTATATAGTAGTTCTCAAGATTGGTGACTTACTGTAGCTACTTTGGTTCTTGTTTACAACACATATAAAGATATGCTTTTTAGTATAACTGACTGTAAGCCTTTTATATGGCTGCACTTGGCGTGAGGGAAAGATATTCTCTGTAACTGGTCGAACAATTCATAGAGCAATAATAGATAGAACGGTTCAGATAGGACTCAGCTGTAAACTTTGTAAAATAGCACAAAGTTTTTTACAACAATGTAAACTCGCGAATTGACTTTGCTTTGTTATTGCGAAAAGTGTCGTCATCCAAACAAATGTTGAGGATCTCATGCACCAAACAAAACTTTGAATTTAAACATGTGTTTGAATTGCGAGAGCGAAATTTGCTTCTGGAAGGTATTTTAGTTGAATTCGAAAACAAACATGCATTTCACGAAAGGAAAGCGTAATATGATGTGCTTAGGAAGCCATATGGTTGAATTTTTGCAAAGCTTTCGATCGAATTTTGTCTGGGGATATTTTCCAGAATATTATTGCCAATGAAAACTCTTGAAGAAACTGTTTGCAAGTTTGATCTGACTACAAAGTTTCCTTTGAGCTTTTGACCACTCATTTATCATATTTGCCAAAATTTTCACTTAATTAATTAGAAGACGTGAAAATCCCGATCATTAGGTTCCGTAAACTCATTTAATAAGCAATAAATAATTAGAATAAAACATATTTGTCACATTCAAGTCTGTTCTCTCTCATATGTTATTCAATTCACATGAAGAATGCAGTGTATTCCTCACTTGATTACTTCGTAATGCAAATCCATCGTGAGAAAAGCTTTGCTCTGGTCAGTCATGACAGTTCTTTTCGTTTCCGACCATCCTTATATTTGATACAAGATAAAATAAACCTTATTTCGTTTTTCTTAATTATTGAATAACAATGAATACAATTAATAAGATTTTTATATATGACAGATAGAAAATTTACATATTTTACGGCAATGAAGTTCTATCACTTTAATTAGCATGAATTTCCACGGCACAAGAATGCTTTAAAATGAGGTTCTGACAACCAGTGGTTATTGTTTTCAGTCTCAAAACTAACGGGCGGCGAGGCTTGAAATTGCTCAGGGATGACGTCGCAATACTTTAGTGTACCAGGTGGTGGTGGTGGAGGTGCGCCAGGTACTGTGTCCGCATACTTTGCGGCACCCGGGTCGAAAAATGTTGGTGGTGGTGGTATGAGTAGTTATGCTGGTGCTGGTGGTGGTGGTGGTGGTGGTACTACGTCGGCTTACTTTGCTGCACCAGGTATGGGTGGTGGTGGTGGCGGATGTGTGTCAGCCTACTTTTCACCAACTGTGAGAGGAGGCGGAGGAGCAGTTCCACATGGTAATCATAACGTTGTCATCCATTGCCTTATATATAATTCTATTGGAGTAACCAACTTGATATCAAACTAACATGGCAAATTGAGAATACCTACTTTATGTATTCCAAGTCATTTCTAGGAGATTATTCCAAAACAGCAATTGGCGCGGTTGATCCAACAAGAACTGCGATCGGTGCCGTAGATCCCACAAAAACCGCAATTGGTGCCGTGGATCCGACAAGAACAGCGATTGGTGCAGTAGATCCAACAAGAACTGCCATTGGCGCCGTGGATCCAACAAAAACAGCAATTGGTGCCGTAGATCCGACAAGAACAGCGATTGGTGCCGTGGATCCAACAAGAACTGCT